GTCACCGTGAATCCCATGCATCTTAATCTTCTGGATGAGCCTACCATAAGCGACCTTGTCAAAAGCCTTACTAAAATCCATGTAGATAACATCCTCTGCTCTAACCTCATAAATCACCTTTGTCACCTCCTCGAAAAATTCAGTCAAGTTAGTAAGACATGACCTGACCCACACAAATCCATGCTGACTGTACCTAATTAGGCTGTGTTTTTCCATGCTTTTCCAAATGTGTGTAAATCCTATCCCTAAGAATTCTCTCCAATAGCTTCCCAACCACCAATGTGAGACTCACTGGTCTGTGGTTTCCTGGATTATCCCTATTTCCCCTCTTGAACAGAGGAACAACATTAGCTACTCACCAGTCCTCTGGAACCACTCCAGTGGCTAGCAAGAATAAAAAGATCTTGGTCAAGACCCCAACAACTCCTCTCTTGCCTCTCAGAAACTGGGGTAGATACCATTGGGCCCTGGGGACTTATCCATCTTAATGCTTTTCAAGAGACCCAACACTACTACTTTCTCGATTGCAAAATGCCCTAGCATATTAGCATGCTGCACACAAATCTCCCTATCCTTCATATTCTTCTCCTGGTGAATACCGAGGCAAAGTACTCATTTAGGATCTTGCCCACATCCTTTGCCTCCAAGTACAAGTTCCCTTTAGTGGTCCTACCTTTTCTCTACTTATCCTCTTGTTTTTAATGCATGTATAGAATGCCTTGGGATTCTCTTTAACCCGACTTGCCAATGTCATTTCATGATCCCTTCTTGTTCTCCTAATTCCCTGCTTGAGTTCTTTCCTGCATTTTTTGTATTCCTCAGAGGCCCTGTCCAATTTCAGCTTATTAAACTTTACATATGCTTCTTTTTTCCTTTTGACTAAATTTGGAGACTAGGGTGCTGAATCTTAAAGGAAACTATGAAGATATAAGGCATGAGTTGGCCTTGATAGATTGGGGAGAGTTACTTAAAGGAATGACAGTGGGTAGGCAATGGCAAACATTCAAGGAATGCCTGGGGGATCTGTAACAACTGTTTATTCCTGTCTGGCACTAAAGCAAAATGGGTAAGAGGGCCAATCCATGGTTTACAAAGGAAATTAGAGATAGTATGCGATCCAAGAAAGAAGCATACAAATTGGCCAAGAAAAATAATATGTCTGAGGATTGAGAGCAGTTTAGAATTCAGCAAAGAAAGACCAAGTGATTGATTAAGAAAGGGAAAATACAGTATGAAAGTAAGCTTGCAGGGAACATAATGACTGACACTAAGAGTTTCTATAGGTACGTGAAGAGAGAGATTGGTGAAGACAAATGTTGGTTCCCCACAGACAGAAACGGAAGATGGTATAATAGGGAACAAAGAAATGGCTGAGCAACTGCATACACACTTTGTTTCTGTCTTCACAAAAGAGGACACAAATCAGATACCAGAAATGTTGTAGAATGCAAGATTTAGTGAGAGGGAAGAATCGAGGGAGATCAACATTAATACAGAAATTGTACTGGGAAAATTGATGGGATTGAAGGCAGATTAGAGTACTCAAGGAAGTGGCCCTAGAAATAGTGGATGCATTGGTGGTCATCTTCCAGGATTCTATAGACTCTGGAACAGTCCCTGCAGACTGGAGGCTAATATCACTCCAATATTCAAAAAGGAAGGTAGAGAGAAAACAGGGAATTATAGACCAGTCAGCCTAATATTGATAGTGGGGAAAATTCTCGAATCTATTATCAAGGATTTAATAGCGGATCATTTAGAAAGCAGTGGCAGGACCAGACAGCGTTGGCATGGATTTATGAAGGGGAAATCATGCTTGACAAACCTGTTGGAATTCTATGAAGATGTAACTAGTAAAGTTGACAAGGGGAAGCCAGTCAATGTGGTGTAGTTGGACTTTCAGAAAGCGTTTGACAAAGTCCCACATAAGAGATTAATGCGCAAGATTAAAGCGCATGGGGTTGGAGGAAGTGTATTGAAATGGATAGAAAACTGGTTTGCAGAGAGGAAACAAAAAGTAGGAATTAATGGATCCATTTCAAATTGGCAGGCAGTAGCTAGTGGGATGCCACAGGGATCGGTGCTGGGACCCCAGCTATTCACAATATATATAAATGATTTGGATGAGAGAACAAAATGTAACATCTCCAAGTTTGTAGATGATACCAAGTTGGGTGGGAGGGTGAACTGTGATGAGGATGCAGAGATCCTTCAGCATGATCTTGACAGGTTTGGTAAGTGGGCAAGTCAATGGCAGATTTACTATAATTTGGATAAATGTGAGGTCATTCACTTTGGAAGCAAAAACAAGAAGGCAGAATACTACCTGAATGGTTGTATATTGGGAGAGGGGAGTGTTCAGCGGGACCTGGGTGTCCTTGTGCACCAGTCACTGAAGGTAAGCATGCAGGTACAGCAGGTGGTAAAGAAGGCAAATAGTATGTTGGTCTTTATTGCAAGAGGTTTCATGTACAGGAGCAGGGATGTGTTGTTGCAGTTATAGAGGGCTTTGGTGAGACCACACCTAGAATATTGTGAGCAGTTTTGGTCTCCTTTTCTGAGAAAGGATGCTCTTGCTCTTGAGGGAGTGCAGCAAACGTTTACCAGGCTGATTCCGGGGCTAGCGGGACTGATGTATGAGGAGAGATTGACTAGGTTAGGTTTGTTTTCACTGGAGTTCAGACAAATAAGGGGGCGGGGATGTCACAGAGCTTTATAAAATTCTAACAGGACTGGACAGGGTAGATGCAGGGAGGATGTTCCCGATCAGGGGGGTGTCCAGAACCAGGGGTCACAGTCTGAGGATTCAGGGTAAATGATTTAGGACGGAGATGAGGAGACATTTCTTCACCCAAAGAGTGGTGAGCCTGTGGAATTCATTACCACAGGAAGTCGTTGATGCTAAAACATTGAATGTATTCAAGAGGCAACTAGACATAGCACTTGGGGTGAATGCAATCAATGATTATTGGGAGGAAGCAGGATGAGGCTATGAGTTGGACGATTAGCCATGATCGTGATGAATTGCAGAGCAGGCTCGAAGGGCCGAATGACCTCCTCCTGCTCCTATCTTCTATGTTTCTATGTTTCCATGCAAATTCCCAATCTCCCTCTTTATCCAAGGGTCCATTGCCTTGCCATCCTTGTCCTTCCTCCTTACTGGAACATGCCAATCCTGAATTCTGATCAGCAGGTCTTTCAACAACTCTCACATGTCAAATGTGGACTTGCCCAATAACAGCTCCTCCCAATTAACACTCCCTAGCTCCTGCCTGATACTGCTGTAATTTGCCCTCCTCCAATTTAGTGTCTCCCCGCAAGGTCCTGACTTATCCTGATTCATAGCTATCTTCTCATTTAAGGATTTGTGATCACTGTTTCCAAAAGGCTCTTCAACTGAAAGGTCAGTCACCTGGTCAGGCTCAGCCAGTCGGAGGCTGAGGGGTGACCTTACAGAAGTTTATAAAGTCATGAAGGAGGTGGAGAGGGTGAACAGTCAAGATCTTTTCCCCAGGATAGCGAAGTTCAAAACTAAAGGGCATAGGTTTAAGGTCAGAGGGGAAAGATTTTAAAGGGACCAAAGGGACAACCTTTTCACGCAGAGAGTGGTTGGTGTATGGGACGAAATGACTGAGAAAGTGGTGGAGTCTAGTACAGTTACAACACTTAAAAGGGATATGGGCCAAGTGCTGGCAAATGGGACTAGATTAATTTAGGATATCTGGTTGGCATGGATGAGTTGGACTGAAGGGTATTTTTCTATGCTGTACATCCCTATGACTCTATGACACTAGTTGGACTAGAGTCAAGAAACCCTCTTGGATGCACTTAACAAATTCTGCCTGTGTAAGCCTTTTGCTCTCAGGGTGTCCCAGTTAATACTGGGGAAGTTAAAGCCACCCACTGTGACAACCCTTTTGTTATAGCATCTTTCCATAGTCTGCCTACATATTTGCTCCTCAGTGGCTTTTGGGAGGCCTATAGTATAATCCAATCAGAGTTCACCCATTTTATTTTTGAGCTCTACCCATATTGCCTCAGTGAATAAGCCCTCCAGTATGTCCTCTGAGTGCAGATGTGACATTCTCCCTGATTAGTAATGCAACTCCTGCATCTCTTTTACCTTTCTCTCTATCTCATCTAAAACAACAAAACCATGGAATGTGGAGCAGCCGGTTCTCTCCCTCTCTCAACCAAGTCTCTGTAATGGCCACAACGTCATATTCCCATGTACTGATCCAGGCTCGAAGCTCATCTGCCTTACCTATAATACTCCTTGAGTTGAAGTAAACACACTTCCACCCATTAGTACCACTGTGTTCATTTACCTGTCTGTGCCTGTCCTTCCTTTCTGACTTACTGGTCCTAACATCTACCTTCCCTTCAAATCCCTCCACTTGCTCACCTGCTGATCTAGTTCCAGTCCCCTGCCATTCTAGTTGTAAACCCTCTCAGGTAGCACTAGCGAACCTCCCTGTGAGGATACTGGTTCCCCTCCAGTTTAGGTGCCACCCATATAGAACCTTTTACAGCCACTGGACATCCCAAGGCTTACTGCTGCCAATGAAGTACTTTTGAAGTTTAATAACGTTTGTAATATAGGAAACATGATGATTAATTTACAGTCAGTGAGGTCCCACAAAGGGCAATGTGATAATGACCAGATATTCTGGGTTTGTGATGTTGCTTATCAGGTAACTATCAGCCAGGAGAGCTCTCTCACTCTTCCTGTAAAAGCTTTCATAGGATCTTTTGCACCTAAGAAAACAGCCAAGACCTTGTTACATATTTCATCCAAAATTCAGCATCTCTGAGATGACAGCACTCCATCAGTAAGGCATTGGACAGTCGATTTTAACCATTGCTCTCATGTCCTGGAATGGTCTTGAACTCCCAACTTTCTCGACTCATTGGTGACCAACTGAACCACAACTGAGACACAGGCCTAGTCTGATCTTCAGCTGACCTTCACCTGACTTTTCTTCAATTTCTTCTTTCAGGGAAAGCCTGGTTCTGGCATACACTGAGCTGGCCCAAGAACTCTGCCAGTTACGAACTCTGACCGAGGCTCAGACTGAGATCCTGAGGAGGCTGTCTGAGGAACAACTGACTAATAATGGTGAATAGCAAACATGCACATGGGGAATCACAGAAATCAACCTGCTCTGAGCCATCATTCCTCACATTATCACTAACTAGAAACCATTGAGTTCTTCACATGCATTCTTCAAGCCAGTAGTCTCCAACTCCTGTAAACTGATTCACACTGTATTGTAATGATCACTCAGAATCTGACCAAACAAACTTCATCCTGCCATCATAACAGTACAAAAAAAGGGGTCAGAGTAAGGGAGAAATTTAAGTTCATTCGAGTCTTTCGAATCAGAATTAGCGCGTTACCTGAAAAGGAAGGACGTGTAGGGTTACAGTCAGAAGGCAGGAAGAGTGGCACTAGGGCAATTGCTCAGTTGGAGAACTGGTGACATGATGGGCTGAATGGTCTCCTTTTGACACCCTGTCTTCCCTTCCACAGCAGTGATAGGGCTCCCGTTGTCTGCACTGACCATCCCGCCAGCATCCACATCCAAAGGATCATTAGATGTCATTTCTGCCACCTCCAGCAGGATGCCACCACCAGACACATACTTCCCTCTCCTCCCTTGTCAGCCTTCTGCAGGGACTGTTCCCTTCGGGACACCCTGGTCCACTGGTCCTTCACTCCCAATAACACTCCACAGCCTTGCACCACCTACCCCTGCGACCACAGAAAGGTGTAACACCTGCCCGTTTGCTTCCTCTCACCTCACCATCCAAGAACCCAAAGAAGCAGTGTTTCACCTACACTTCACACAATCTAGCCTACTGTATTTGCTGCTCACAGTGTGGTCTCTTCTACAACGGAGAAGCAAAGCGCAGAATGGCTTCGCAAAACATCTACATTCTGTCTGCAAAAAAGACCCTGAGCTTCCATTGTGTTCTCTGGCCAACATCTTTTGTCTCCAGGCTTGCTACAGTGCCCCAGTGCAACTCAGTGCAAGCTGGAGGAACAGCACCTCATTTTCTACTCGGGAACTCAACAGCTTTCAGGACTCAATATTGTTTTCAGTAATTTTCTGGCTTAAGCACCTTGACCCATGGTTTCCCCCTCCCCCACACACCAGGCCTTGTTACTACACAATCCATTGTTAGGTCACTAATAGTCACCATTAATAGCTATTCATTCTCCCAAACTGACCTTTATCCCTTCTTTGTCTGTCCAAATGTTTTTCTCTCTCTTTAGGTCCTATCTCCACCTATCGGTGACTCTTCCTCACCCATCCCCCAACCTCATAGTCTTTATAAAAAAAAACACCCTTTTCCTAACTACCATCCGCTCTGAAGAAGGATCACAGGACCTGAAACATTAACTCTGATTTCTCTCCACAGATGCCGCAGATCTGCTGAGGTTTTCCAACAATTTCTGTTCTTGTTCCAGTGCTGTAACTCTCTCCCAACTGACACTGTGGCTGTACCTGTGCCACATGTAGACTGCATGAGAAGGTAGCTCACCAGCACCTTTGCAAGACAATTCGGGATAGGCCACAATTGCCAGCCTTACCAGCACCACACACTGTGCGCAGCATTCCCTCGGTAGTGCAATGGAATAGCAGCTTAGATTCACAGACACACAGAATTGTTATAGAACCATAGAAACCCTTCAGTGTGGAAGCAGGCCATTTGGCTATTTGGGTCCACACTGACCCTCTGAAAAATAGCCCACCTAGACTGTGTGTCTGTATTGTAAAATTCTATGATTCTATGACATGAGGAATTATTCTCATTTATCGTAACCTCACAAGGAAACTCCAATTAAGTTTTTATCTTTCTAGACCATCCCTGCAGCTTCCATTTTGAACTGTTGGGGGAAAATGATCATTGCTGCTCTCTCCCATTCAACCAAAAATAGCTGTCAGGTCTAGATGATATCAACAGAGCCTGAAGTGCATATTGACCAAATTGTGCTTCTGATGGGCGTCCTTCCTGCCTTCGACTTAAAATTGCAGTCAGCTGCAGCAGCGTGGGAGGCAAAGTGGGGGCAAAGACCAATGTTTTATTTTAACTGACTGCCCCACCCAATTTCCACCAGTGGTTAAAAGTTCCCCTTTGTCACATCGTTCAGGTCTGAGTCTGAACATACTTTTTTTTGCTCGATACTCTCTTTGATTCAGTGGGAGACCCAGTACCTTTGATTCAGAAGGTCGTGGACCCATTCCAAAGACTTGGAGAGAAGTTGGGGTCCTGTTGGTGATGCACTGGCCTTGTAATTGCAGAATCCCCTGCTAATTGTCTGAAGAGTAGATGTTCAAATCCCACTTTGGCATCCAATGGAGTTTTAATTCAACTCATTAATTCTGAGAACTGAAAGAAAATTCCAATAATGGTGACCATGAAACTATAATTGATTGTAACCTATAAATGTATTTGGATCATGAATGTCTCTTAGAGAAGAAAACCTGGCCTGGCTTACATGTGACTCCAGATCCACAGCAATGTGGTTGACTCTTAACTCCTCTTATCCGGCCTGATAAGGGCATTTAGGGACAAGCAAGAGATCACCCTTGTTGATGACACTTGCATCTCATGGCAAAATAAATCCTGAAGATCAACGGGTTGTTTATTCTCATTGCTATTTATTGAATCTTGCTGTGCATCCTAAGGTGTGCCACACTTGTCTTCTCTTGCAATGGTTCAAAAGTACCTCATGTGAAGGCTTTGGGACGTTCTGAGATTGTGCAACGATGCTATATAAAAGCAGGTTCTCTCCAGGGGACATTACATCTTAAAATCTGTTGTCTTACTTTATTCTACAGCCCATCCCCAACCCTCTGGCCACGTGAGACAAGTTGCATACTCCAGCTACCCCAGGAGCACAAGCCACCGTCTCCGGACCAGCTTTCAAGGGCGTCGCAGCTACTCTGAAGTCAGCGATGTTAAGGTGGAGAGCCACACAATGCCATCTCGACTGCCAGTAGATGATCTGTCCTCGCCAACGCACAGGCACTACCTTACTAACGATTACCTGAAGGTGCCTGACAGTCCTGACGTTGGCCCGTTCGAACGGCAGATAGAGTCCGAAGATGAGGATTGGATGAACCATAGTCCTCCTGGCACTTTGGACAGGGGAATGAGGAGCACTTCCTCGTGCACAGCACTCCCACTCCCAGACTCTACCATGAATAGGAGTTCGACCGAGTATCCCAGATCGGAACATGCCCAGTCATGGCCTTCCATCAATGTAGGTCTGCAGTTTTAGTGATCCCAATTTTTATTTCAAAAATATATTTTATTCAAACACAATATCTTTATATGTACGTAGTCACAAATGCAGTTTGGTCCTGCGCAATAGCATGTCAAGGAAACAAACAGACATTGGAGTTTGACTCTATCCAACAAACAAACCAAAGGTATCTCTTACTTGAATCAGACTATGTTTACCTGCAGTTGATGCACCAGAACGGTCCTGATTGACATAATTGTAATCTAGAGATGGGGGTGTGGCTTGAGGTGGGAGGAGGGGATAGGTGGGAGGAAGAACAGGTTAGGGAGGCGGGGACGAGCTGGACTGGTTTTGGGATGCGGTAGGGGGAGGGGAGATTTTGAAGCTTGTGAAATCCACATTGATACCATTGGGCTGCAGGGTTCCCAAGCGGAATATGAGTTGCTGTTCCTGCAACCTTCGGGTGGCATCGTTGTGGCACTGCAGGAGGCTCAGGATGGACATGTCGTCTGAGGAATGGGAGGGGCGAGTTGAAATGGTTCGCGACTGGGAGGTGCAGTTGTTTAGTGCGAACCGAGCGTAGGTGTTCGGCAAAGCGGTCCCCGAGCCTCCGCTTGACCCCGTGGAGGTAGAGGAAGCCACACCGGGTACAGCGGATGCAGTATACCACATTGGCAGATGTGCAGGTGAACATCTGCTTGATGTGGAAAGTCTTCTTGGGGCCTGGGATGGGGGTGAGGGAGGAGGTATGGGGACGGGTGTAGCACTTCCTGCGGTTGCAGGGAAAAGTGCCGGGTGTGGTGGAGCTGGAGGGGAGTGTGGAGCGGACAAGGGAGTCACGGAGAGAGTGGTCCCTCCGGAAAGCAGATAAGGGTGGGGAGGGAAAGATGTCTTTGGTGGTGGGGTCGGATTGCAGATGGCGGAAGTGTCGGAGGATGATGCGTTGGATCCGGAGGTTGGTGGGGTGGTACGTGAGGACGAGGGGGATCCTTTTTTGGTTCTTATTGCGTGGACGGGGTGTGAGGGATGAGTTGCGGGAAATGTGGGAGACACGGTTGAGGGCGTTCTCGACCACTGAGGGGGGGAATTTACGGTCTTTGAAAAACGAGGACAACTGAGATGTACGGGAGTGGAATGCCTCATCCTGGGAGCAGATGCGGCGGAGGCGAAGGAATTGGGAATAGGGGATGGCATTTTTGCAGGAAGGTGGGTGGGAGGAGGTGTATTCTAGGTAGCTGTGGGAGTCGGTGGGCTTGAAATGGATATTGGTTTCTAGGTGGTTGCCCGAGATGGAGACAGAGAGGTCCAGGAAGGAGAGAGAGGTATTAGAGATGGCCCAGGTGAACTTAAGGTTGGGGTGGAAGGTGTTGGTGAAGTGGATGAACTGTTCAAGTTCCTTATGGGAGGCGGAAGAATACAATGTGTACCTTCTCTGCAGCCGTAACAAAGACTGAGATCAACATTAAATTTAAAATTTCAGAGGTCCATTCAGAATTCTAATAACAGCAGGGAAGAAGCTGTTTTTGAATCTGTTGGTACATGTGTATAAGCTTTTGTATGTTATGCCTGACAGAAGAGACTGGAAGAGATTATAACTGTGGTGGTAGGGGTTATGATTATGTTGGCTGTCTTCCCGAGGCAACAAGAAGTATAGATGGAGCTAATGGATGGGAGGCTGGCTTGCGTGATGGTCTGGGCTGTGTTCACAACTCTCTGTAGTTTCTTACGGTCCTGGGCAGAGCAGTTGCTAAACCAAGCTGTGAAGCATCTGGATAGAATGCTTTCTATGGCACACCTATAAAAATTGGTAAGAGTCTATTACGTACATGCCAATTTCCTTAGCCTCCTGAGGAATTAGGGGCATTGTTCTGTTTTCTTGACCCTAGAATCAACATAAGTGGACCAGGGCAGCATATGAGGAAGGAAAGTGAAATCAAATTGGAGCAGATAGTCACAGCACAAGAGACTTCCTTCTGAACTGAAAATCTTAGATTACTCAAAGAATGAGAGTCTCCCTGCTCCAGGAGCAGTCCAGTGATCTTCATCTGTAGCAGCAGATAAGTCGGAGGGGTTTTAGTTGAGAAAAGGAGGTTGTAATGCTTGATCTGATTCAACTGAAGGAATTGAGACAATTCGGTCAAAAAGGAGCTGAGGAATATCTAGTCACCTTAATACCATCAGGTTTGATATAAAAATTGAATAGGAGAAGGATCAGTCTCTGAATGAAAATACCCAGTTGGGGGGAAAAATAGAAGTTGAGTTACCAAAGTAAAACAGAAATAACTCAAATAAATTGGAAAGGAAAATCGGTAGATGAGATGGTCGAGAAATGAGATATTTCCAAACTGGAGATGGTACAGGTACTGTCTCACTAGGTATAGTTTTACATGGACTGTGGTTGTTCAAAAAGGTGGCTCACTACCACCTTCTCGAGCAATTAGGGATAGGGCATAAATTTTGGCTCAGCCAGAGATACCAATACCCCACAAATGAATTTTCAAAAGCCTAGAAAAGGGCTGTAGCAACATCTGGTGTTTTTGTGGATAATTTCATTAAAATGAGACCAAAAGCGCACTTGATAAAACTAGGGCTCATGTTATAAAAGAACATGACTAAGGCTATAGAAGGTAGTGAGCAGAAAAAGAAATGAAGATGAAAGTATTTAATGGAGGTATTGAAAATCATGAAGGCATTATATTGAGCAAATTAAGAGAATCTGTTTCCTGTGGCTGAGGAGTTGATTACCAGAAGATACAGAATTTAAGGTGATTAGCAAATGAACCAAAGATGAATGGTTAGCACCTGGAACTCACTGCCTGGAAGGGCAGTGAAATCATATTTATTAGTGGCTTTCAGGAGAGACGTTGGATAAACAGTTGGAAGAGCGAAAAACGCAGGAATTTGGTGAAACAGAGTGGGGAGTGCTTTGCTTGTCAAAAGAATCAGCACAGAATTGATGGGCCAAATAGCATCCTTCTACGTTCTACACTTTTATCATGAAGCAAAGTTCTGTGATTCCATTAAGGAACACTGTCTGTTAGCTAGAGGTAAATAATAAAGGGTCTGTGAGCACATCAAAGGTAAGAAAATATCTAAAGAAAATGGTGAACAAAATAGAGATAGAAATGGAAACCTTGTGGCAGATTAAGGAAAGGCATTGACACAAACAGAATCAGTTCCATTGGTTTACACAGAAGTGGTTGATATTTGCGATGAAAAGGTTCAGGAGCAGAAGGTGGAGCAATTACACAGGATGCTTTTATAAAGAGAGGCTACGCTAACAATGTTGTTGGAACTCAAAATGAGAGCTATATCCAAGAAGATTGAGAGAACTCAGAGCATATATCAAAGGCTGTGATCATAAATTTTCAAACATACTTGAATGCAATTGTTATGTCAGAAGATTGATGGATAGCCAGTATATAATGTCTGTTTGAGAAGGGAAAGCCAAGTAAGCCAGGAAATTATGGACCCATTAGCTTAACAATGGGTAAGCTTCCACAACTCCAAATATTGGATGAAATGGATAGGATACTGAGGAATACATGGGTTCATTAAGGACAACCAGCCCAGGGTTGTAAGTACAGAGCCTGCATTAACTGAAAAAAGACGGGCAAGTTTGGGAAAATGTTCTTTTTATCCATAATAGAGTCATAGAATTGTAAAGCACGGAAACAGACCCTTTGGTTCAACTCATCCATGCCAACCAGGTATCCCAAATTAATCTAATCCCATTTGCCAGCATTTGGCCCTGATCCCACTAAACCATCCCTGTTCATGTACCTATCCAGATGCCTTTTAAATGTTGTAATTGTACCAGCCTCCACCACTTCCTCTGGCGGCTCATCTATACATGTACCACCCTCTGCGTGAAAAAATTGTCCCTTTTAAATCTTTCCCCTCTCACCTTACATGCTGGGTTGCAGTTCAGAACCTGGTTGAAGCAATAGTGGATAGATTTAAATTGCATGTAGGTGAATATTTAAGGAAGAGATTTACGAAGCCTATGGCGAAATGGGACCAGCTGTCTAGCTCTTACAGAGAACCAGCTCAATTACAATGGGCTGAGTGGCCTGTGATTTGAGGGCTGCTCCTCTTACAGATTAGAATTGTCATCTACACTCCGAGACCATGAGTACAACTTGTCAGGGAAATTGAATTGTCAGACTTTTGCAATGATGTGCACTATTCTGTGATCAAGGGGAAGGAATATTGTTGGGGAAAGGTTGGAGAACCTTTATTTATGTTTAGAAATTGCCATTGTTTGAAGCGGTAGAAATTGAGCACATTGATGTTCAAACTGGTTCTTTGATTATTTCATTGTAGAACTAAATTTATTTTTCTAATTATTCTAAAGCTAGAGATCTATGTTGAACTAAGATGTAACAATCCCAATTGCACCCCACTTAAATCTTTCATCAATATAAGACTAGATACTGAGGATAGATAACCTATTTTTCCATGGATGTAACTGATATGTAGTTCCTGTAGGATCACAGGATCATGTTCAGAAGGAGTAATTCTGGTCATTATCACTTGTCGTTTGCCCAAGGACAATGTTAATAATCTATCTTAGATTAATGAATCTTGTATAGACCAGACTCTGGACTATACATCCTCATACCCCACTTCTTGTAAAGATTCCATTCCATTCTCTCAGTTCCTCTGTCTCCATTGTATATGTTCAGATGAGGCCAACTTCAACAAGGGATCCTCTGAAATGTCCACCTTCTTCCTCAACCGAGGATTCCCCAGCTCCGTTGTCGACGGGGCCCTCAACCAGGTCCGACCCATCTCCCGCACTTCCGCACCCACCCCTTCTCTTCCCTCCCGCAACAGCGATAGGGTTCCCCTTGTCCTTACCTACCATCCCACCAGCATCCACATCCAGAAAATCATCAGGCGCCATTTCTGCCACCTCCAGCAAGATGCCACCACCAGACACATATTCCCCTCCCCTACCTTGTCTGCCTTCCATAGGGACCGTTCCCTCTGGAACACCCTGGCCCACACTTCCTTCACCCCCAACACCCCCCCCACAGCCCTATGGCACCTTCCCCTGTAACTGGCGAAGGTGCAACACCTGCCCATTTACCTCCTCCCTCCCCAGTATCCAAGGGCCCAAACATATCTTCCAGGTGAAGCAACACTTTACCTGCACTTCCCAGAATCTAGTCTACTGCATTCACTGCTCACAATGTGGTGTCCTCTACATTGGGGAAACAAAGTGCAGACTGGGTGACTGCTTCGCAGAACATCTACATTCTGCTCACTGAAAAGACCCTGAACTACCCATTGCCTGCCACTTTAACACACCACCCTGTTCCCTAGCCAACATGTCTGTTTCTGACTTGCTGCAGTGTTCTAGCGAAGCTCAATGCAAGCTGGAAGAACAACATCTCATTTTCCGCTTGGGACCCTACAGCCTCCAGACTCAATATCGAGTTCAATAATTTTAGGGCCTAAACTGTCCCATGTCCCAACCCCAAACACCAGGCCTTGTTACCACATAGCCTGCCATTATACACCCTCTGTTATTAGTCACTAATAGTCCCCATTAACAACTATTCACCCTCCCAGCCTGATCGTTAGCAACTCTTTGTCTGTCCAACTGCTCTTCTCTCTCCTTTAGGCTCTATCCTATTGTATACTCCCTACCCCATCCCCCTCCCCTTTCTTCTGCAAATAAACTGACGTTTCCCCAGCTACCATCAGTTCTGAGGAAGGGTCACCGGACCTGAAAAGTTAACTGTTTTTCTCCTTCACAGATTCTGCCAGACCTGCTGAGCCTTTCCAGCAACTTTTTGTTTTTGTCCTTGTATAGACCAGGATTCAAACTGGTGATTCTCCCCCTTACTCTATAATCCAGTTGTACACCATATGTTTTTTGTTTGATTTGCTTGTGTGATGTGAGTTCCACTGGCTATGCCAGCATTTGTTGTCTAATTGACCAGAGATCATTTAAGAGTCAGCCACATTGCTGTGAGCATGAGAGTCACATGTAGGCCACAGAAGTATAGCTGGTTTCCATCCCTAAAGGGCATGAGATGAGTTTTTACAACAATCAACAGCTGTTACAGGGTTGCCAACTTTTTAAAATTCCAGATTTTTAAAAAAAAATGGATCTGCCATGGTGGGATTTGAAACCATGTCACTACAATATTAGGCTATGGTGATGAATTGCCAACATGGTGACATTACCACTGCACTACGCCCTCTCCATAGATTTACTCATGATGCCATCAACCCAAACTCTTATCTGGATAGAATCATTGTATTTGAAATGTTGGAAGTCATGCCTTCTGCAGCACTGGAAGAATGGGTGTTATTCAATGCAACGAATAATTGTTATAATTGATGTCAAGGCAATAGATCTGTCCATAAACAATTCACACATGGAACATTTTATGATTTACTCTTTTGTTCCTTTCTCCATGCCCAGCTTTGGATGGAAACGGGAGACTCGGACATCAGGAGCTGCCCGCTGTGCCAGTTAGCCTTTCCCCTCAACTACCCAGATGATGCCCTCATAAAACACATTGATACTCATTTGGAAAACAGCAAGATCTGATAACACTGCTTCTCACTGAGCCATGGAAGGATTGAAGAAAATGAAGAAGCAAAAGATTGTCTTGAAAAACTGATACAAGACAGCAAATATTGCAGAACAAAAAAGGAATCAAATTTTCCACTTGATAACCTAATTTTTCTTTCTGTTGGGGTTGGAGGGAGATGATCATGAGTCTTGAATGAACCTTGAAAAGAAATAGAAACGCTAATTTGAGGGCTGCTCCAAATTTGAAGAAGAAAGATAAAAATTATTGATCAGTTGCTGTCAAACATGACAAATGATACGTCTTCCAGTGAAATCAGTTTACTTCCAAAAGCAGAATACTTGAAGCTTGGTCAATGTGAACTTGGAGATACTGAAATTAGTAGCAGGAGAATGAAATTGTCCCATTGCATAATAAAAAGGGTAAACTGAAGGGTTAGGTCTGAGTGTTAAATTTGGAAGCCTATTGCTCAATGGAGAAGATTGAATTGGTGTAGTTCATTATTGGAACAGGTTTCCCATGATACCTGTACAGCTGGTTTCTAGTTATTGTGGTTTAACAAAATTATTGTTCGGGAATGGGGAGTTGCAGAACATTTCATAGATTGACATTGAGAAAATGCAGTCCATAACTTGAAGGACAAGTGCATCAATATCACAAATTGTCCTCCCCCACTGATTCCAGGTTGGAAATTCTATTTATGGTATTGAGCACCTTGTTGAACCACAGTAGGAAATAAAACGAATTTAACTTAATATTGGCTATACACATGATTCAAAGTTGTGTAACATTTGTCACATGCATGTCTCTTATTCATGTTTCTTGACATCTGACTCCATACACAGAAGCTGTTACAGACCAATGTGGCTCTCTGCTCCTATGATGCTGCTTGGCCTGCTGTGTTCATCCAGCCCTGCACCTTGTTGTCACAGACCATTGTGGATTCAGTCTCTGTCTGTAAGAGAATAAAAGAAATATTTGCATTTATATCCTCAAAGCCATTGAGGTACTTTTGAACTGGAGTCACTGTTGTACGGTAAGAAATGCAACAGCCAATTTGCACACAGCAAGCTTCCACAAACAGCTGTGAAATAAACAGATAATCACTTTTTTTTGACTGAAAACAACAAATGCTGGAGATCACAGCGGGTCAAACAGCATCCATGGAGAGAGAGCAAGCTAACGTTTTGAGTTTAGATGACTCTTCATCAGAGCTGAATTGCTTTTTTGATATTGATTGATGGTCGCTATTGATCAGAATACTTGGGATAATCCTGCTCATCTTTGATTTAATCCCCTAAGACATTTTATGTCTACATCTACCTAAAAACAAGTGGGTCTTGGTTTTATGTCTCATCAAAAGGCAGCACCTTCGACACTGAAGCACTCCCTCAGTGCTGGGCTGGACTGTCAGCCTAAATTTCTGTCTCATGTTTCTAGAGTAAGAACTTGAAACCTGCAATGTGAGAGTCCTACCAATTGAGGCATGACTAAAATAGTAATGTGATTTTCCTTAACCTCACTAAACTTGGTGGAAATTTCACTTGTGGTTTACATACACATGCATGCACACATATCCGTGAAAAATTTGAATGCGCTAGGTCTCGCAGCACATTGAGCTTCTGATAGTCTAAAGATCCTAGACAACAGAATGAGAGATTAATTCAATCGAATTTCATACCTACATGTCATGTTCAAATGTATACATAATATGAAAAATCTTACAACTTCAACTTTATCCCTAATAAATTACAATGTTTGTATGTGTGATGAAAACTGCCTGGATAAACTTGTTACACTCTACTAATGTATCCCTGCAGAGGAAACACTGAAATACCAGTGATAGAAAGAGAATTTAAACATGGCCTGGAAGGTTTTTTAAAGACAGCTTCCATTATAAATGTGGCATTTACAATAGAAATATGAAATATAAGAGCAGAACGAGTAAATTTTAAATCAAATTGGCCTCTGTCTGTGGATCTTGGTCTAGATGGTGCCTGAGGCAGTGAAAGGCTCTATATAAATGCAAATTATTTATTGCTTCTAGTGCATATGAGTATGTACATTTTACCTCAGATTGGCACTGCACAATGCACTGTTGATGATATTCATGACTAGAAGATGCAAAACACAATAGGCTGAGAGTGTTGACATCCACACTTCATTCACCAACCTACTCCCTTTGATAGCTTCTTCTGGGAATGAAGTCAGTAGCTGGTGGCCCTTACACTCCAAAGGGGTGGGTTCCACTCCTCAACCGGCTGAGATTACCATGAAGAACTCTCCTTCTCAATCTTTCTCCTCACCCGAGGTGTGGTGACGCTCAGGTTAAATCACCACCAGTCCTCCCTCTCTCTCTAATGAGAGAGCAACTATATGGTCCTCTGGGACTATGGTGATGTTACTTTTACTTCTAAAATTTGACCTTGGGTATTTATTGCATAATAACATAATTACATACATAGGAACAGGAGTAGACCATTCAGCCTCTTGAGCCTGTTTCTGCCATTCAATGAGATCATGGCTGATCTGTGGTCCAACTCAGTATCCCTCACGATTCCCCTGATACTGGATAGCCATGAAACTCAGGCTTGACGAAAAATTTATGATAATGTGATCAAAGACCAGCTTCCACTTCCACTTAGTTAATTTTAGATTTCCCAATTTTCAGGAAGGCAGAATTCTGTTAATAAAGCTAGATATTACTGGCATTCTAGACTGGAATATCACCCTCTTGGCCGGTTGGACACAAAGTGGCATTGATGTCTATATGTGTGGGTCAAGCTGTTTCACTTTTCGACCCCCGAAGAAACATGAACAGAGATAGAAAGGAAAGAAAACTAGAGAGAACTGGTAAAGTCCTCTTCACAATGCTCTTTTTTTCAGTACAGCAGTGAGAGAGAAAGTGAGTCTGACACCCAGGGAAATGCCTTTTATATGATAGAAGAGTTGGCTGGTGGCAAGTTGCAAGACTTGAAGTCATTTCAAGCGATTCTAATGTGATCATAAAGATGAGAGCTGGTTTATGTGGTAGCAAGGTTCCTGAGATTGCATTCCAGTCAGCTCCCAGCCAACTGTTGTTTCCTATAATGTATGCAAGACTGTGAGAGGCTTTATATTTGAACAGTTGGGCTGCTTTACCAGTTCTCATCTTCCGCTTCACTGCCAAATGTTGCTGTTAGGGTTTCTGTCTTCCGTGCCCCCTGGGGAATTTTACCATTCACTTTGCATCTTGCTCTCTGCGAGAAATTTTGTTACTGTCCATTTTATATCTTTTGTTTCCGCTGCTTACTTCTAAACTTCTGCTGCCAACTGGATTGACGTCATGTAATGAGAGAAGAGCTTGATACTCAAGTAGGACAGATGACAGCCTTTCATGTGAGAGGAGAGACCAGAGAGAAGGTGCCTTTACTGCACATGATGCAGGTGTTTATGGTCTAATAGCTGTTATACTGACAGAATTGTCTTCTGGGGCAGCACGGTGGCTCAGTGGTTCTCACAGCGCCAGGGACCCGGGTTCGATTCCAGCCTCAGGTGACTGTCTGTATGGACTTTGCACATCTTCCCCGTGTCTGCGTGGGTTTCCTCCAGGTGCTCTGGTTTCCTCCCACAGGTTAGGTGGTCATGCTAAATTGCCCGTTTGTAGCTTACTTATAAGGAGATGGGTCTGTGTGGACTTGTTGGGCCGAAGGGCCTGTTTCCACACTGTAGGGATTCTATGTGAATTGTCTTCTGTTGAAGTGAAGTAACATTCTGACTCTGACCAAAGTGATGTACTTACTATCTGTAGTGATTGTGAAAAGGTCAGCCAGGTGGACCTCATAGAATATAAGTTTCCTGATTGGGGCTGTTAATCTGGTCCAATCAGGGAGCTCTGGCTGATAGATATAAACAGGGGTATCAGAGGTTCTGTTTGCTCAGAATTGGCTCTGAGGGAGCTTGATAAGTGTCAAGGACTTGCCACTTGTCAATAAAGAGTGACTTTGTGACAGGATACTGGCCTCTGTGGAGTTATTTTGTTACCAGATACCTTTTCTAATTCAAATTGATATTCAGTTCCAAAATACATAATTTGTTACATCCTGAACAGTATGCAGACCAGGAATCTGCCGTATTTGATCCTTGGTCTATGCTGGGTTAACCAAGCTCAGTTATAGAAGCTGTTGGGACTGATCAGTTGGCCCTGGGCTAAGGTTTGGGAGACAAAAATTATACCAATATCCCAGAAAATTGACACACGAAAGCCAAGTGCTTGTGTGATACAATTCTGAACATCAGTTGGAAATCTGTTCTTTTTTTGCCAATTTGCTCTTCCACCATTATTTAACTTGAGGTAGGGTTCCAGAATGACTTCTGCTATCGGTATTTTATAACACTGTAATGGGAGAATTTTGTTTTCAAAAAGGAGTTAATATGTGCTTAAGACCAAAAGGATCAAAGAGTAGGAAGAGAAAGTGGGAGCAGGATATTGAGTTGAATGATCAGCCACAATCCTATTGAATGATGGAGCAGGCTTAAAGGGGTAAGTGGCGTACTCTTGCTCCTATTTTCTATGTTTCTATGTCTGTTCTTGTCTCTGCATCACAGCGTTAAGGCTCAAATCCTGCTTCAGGGCTTGAGCATAAAAAGAATCCAGGCTGATGCAGTGTTGTTGGTGCCACCTTTCAATGAGATGTTAGCTGAAGCCCTATCTGTCTGGTGGATTCAGAAGATCCCATGGCACTATTTTGAAGGATAGATGTCGATAATTTGCCTTTGTCAATAATTATCCCTCAATTAACTTCATGTAAAAAAAAACAGATTCTCTGGTCATTAACTCGTTGATATTTGTGAGAGTTTGGTGGGGGGTGAATTGGCTGACCCCCTTCCTGCATCACAGAAGTGACGACAGTTCAAAAGTATTTAATTGGCTGTGAAGTACTTTGAAACATCTGGTGGTTGTGGAAAGCTCTATATAAATGCAAATCTTTCTTTGTAACCTATCGTTAGTAACAGATTTGATCCTAATCCATACAATTGGAGTATTTTCAGTTCCAGAGATTCTGGTTTGTAGAGGTACATTCCAATGCAGAAATAGTATTTTTATTTTTTGTGTCAAATTCGTCATATTTACTTTAACTAATCTCTTTGCCTGGCCTTCTGATACCAAAGGATTCAAGTTTGGTGGATGTAAATTGAAAGGACCAGTACAGCTGAGCTTTAATAGACTTCCTCTGCACTTTTCATGATAATTCATATTTATCCTGAAATTATTATTAAGGAAAATAATAAGTGGGAGCTTGGAACTGACGTGGCTGGACATTCAATTTAACGTTTAACTCCCAGAGTATTGTTTAGCATTCTGCAATTTTAAAACTTTTTTGGAATGAATTCTTCCTTATGGTTGAAATCTTTGATTTGGTTTTGAATTATGCTTCACGTGACTCACCATTTACTGTTCTTTTTAGGAAGTTCTCCATCCCTGCTGTGAAAACCACTTCAGTTACAATCAAAGAAAATTAATATCAGTTTGAGTAAAGTATTTAACATGCCAAATGAGTACCAACTTTGGGCAAAGTATAAGGTTCTGCCTTTGGTACCAAGGCTAGCTTTCCGCCTTTTCTTTGAGATGGGAAGTGAAGAAACAATTTTCAGTCACCGTTTCATAGGAGATGTGTTCATTGGGTGCAAAGAAGTTAGCCCATGTTAGTCTTCTGCTTACTCAGTAGCCTTATTGCTCCTCCAAACATTAAGAAATCAAATATTTTTTTAAATGGATACATACAAACTTGAATAGGCTATTCACCCCTCGAGCTTGTTCTGCCATTTAATTATATTATAGTTGATCTGTACCTCAACTCCATTTATTGAGCAATTTGCGTGGTAAACCAAAATCTATTGACATTAGTCTTGACTTACAGAATTTATTGCCTTTCAGTGGGAAGGTTGTTCCAGACTTCCACCACACTTCTTGTGATAAAGTGCTTTGAAAGCGCACATTCAGTCTC